TATCTAACAGAATCTGAATTTTTTGTATAAAAACTCTATAATAAGTAAGAGTACAATAATTTATATATAAAAATTTGACTACATGGCAAGCACTTAGATACTGATTTCAATGTCCTTAAATGTTATTATTATAAAGTTAATATTCTTATTAAGTTAAATATACTTTTATTCTCTTATAAAGTTTAGATGTACAGAACAGAAGGCACACTTTGTGCTTACTACTCACAGTCAACCACTTGTGGCAAGATAACTTATGATAACAATTAAGTTCAAATGTAAAATTTAAATTCAAATAAATTTGTAGCCAAAGGCTGCACAAATCAATTTAATGCAAAGTTGGTTAAAAACTTAACTGGCATGGAATTCAGCTATCAGCAATTACAATGCAAGACTGAAGACTACAAATCTTATCTTATCTAGCAACCTAGTAACATGGCCTCGAAAGGCAAAACACGGTTTGTTTTACAAACTAAAAACTTCATTTAGATACTGATGGGAAAATGGATGGATGAAATTGATAGTAAAGATCCCAAGCATAAAATAACTCTGGTTACAGAATAAAGAAGGTTACATTATACTTTGTGCCGATTAATTATTCACTACATGAAAATAGTGTAATGCACTTTGCTGCATCATATACAAATTACTTATTTTATTTAAATGCTGTCCAAAAACTGAACGGATTTTGCAACATATTGACCATATTTTTCGACCTATATGCAACACTTCTTCAGTTCAGAAGTAAGATTAGAATTAAGAAATATGAAAATAGAAGAGAATTATGAATAGAAAAAAAAATATAGTGCTGGCTAGCACAAGAAGGATGCCTTCATAAAGTACTTTTTAAGAGAAACTGGCTCAGATTCACATTACATGTACGAAAAACCACAAAAACTCCCATATAGCCCCCTTCTGAACTACCACTGTTCAGTGGCTTATCACTCCAACACTAGTGGATTCCAATGACTGTTCGAATTTTTCGCAGAAATCACTATTTATGATGATTGTTGTATTATTTATTACCATTGGTACAAAGAATTTACTCATTATGATAATTTAATTTTAGCTTTTAAATTATAAACATAAATTACTTGTAATAAATTTAGGGATTAAAAAATACACACTTCTTAATATTTTTACCATTTACAAAATTTAATCATAAAAAGTATTTCAAAACTTGCTCATTATAATTTAATTTGATTTCCTTCACTTTGAAATATTTTTTTTTATTTTATTTTCTTTTAATAACAGAATCTATGAAACTAAAGTAACATATACTACTAGTTTGAAATGCATTTATGAACCTCTTGTAAATTTCATTATTCATAACATAAAAATTAACCTTTTGTAAATTTAAAATATACCTACCTAAGTAATAATATAATATAAATATTAACTAACTACTTAAAATATTAACGTTAATACATTAATATTATATTTTGTAATTTAAAATATTAACCTTTTGTAAATTTCATTACTCATAACATAATCACTGCCATAAATTCATTTACGGTAGTGTTTCAAGAATTATCATAGCAGTACTAGAAATGTTGAAAATTAGAGAAAGACTGTTTATTCTGATCAAGAGCTTATTTTTTAGGATTGTTATTTAGTCTAGATCGGGTTTTGTTGACAATCCGCCATTTCTTTCCGATCTTCAAAGACGGGTGTACATTGGTGACCGAAGTTTGTCGCCAAATCAAAAAATCGCCAAAAGGACCAATACTAAAGCTGTTCCCATTTTCTTTACTTGTTTATACTGACTTTTATTAACATATGTTTAAGATCCTGCTTTTCCACCAACTTGAATTAAATTGGGAACAGCTTTAGTATTGGTCTTTTGGCGATTTTTTTATTATTTGGCGACAAACTTCGGTCGCCAAGGTAGACCCGGCTTTGAAGATCGAAAAAAAATGGCGGATTGTCAACAAAACCCGATCTAGACTAAATAACAATCCTAAAAAATAAGCTCTTAATCAGAATAAACAGTCTTTCTCTAATTTTCAATATTTCTAGTACTGCTATGATAAATTCTTGAAACACTACTGTAAATGAATTTATGACAATTTGTCATGAGTAATGAAATTTACAAAATGTTAATATTTTTAATACAAATATAATGTATTAAACATTAATATTTAAGTAGTTAGTTCATATTTAATTTTATTATATTAGTACTTAGCTAATATTTTAAATTTACAAAGGTAATTTTTATGTTTATGAATAATGAATTTACAAAAGGTATAAATGCATTTCAAACTAGTACTTTAGTTCTTAAATTAAAACTTTAGTTTCTTAGATTCTGTTATTAAAGAAAATATTTCAAAGTGAAGGAAATCAAATTCATTATAATAGGCAAGTTTTGTACCAGTGTTAAATATTTTTATTATAAATACTGTAAATGGTAAAAATATTAGAGTGTGTATTTTTTAATCCCTCAATTTATTACAAGTAATTTATGATTATAATTTAAAAGCTAAAATTTAATTATCATAATGAGTAAATTTTGTACCAATGGTAATAATACAACAATCATCGTAAATGATGATTTCTGTAAAAATCAAACAGTCATTGGAATCCACTAGTGGTGAGTGGAGTGATAGCCACTGAACAGTGGTAGGTCAGCCTGGCTATATGGGAGTTTAGTAGTTTTCCGTAGATGTATGCGAGTCTGAGCCAGTTTCTTTAAAAAGTACTTTATGAAGACTTCCTTCTTCTGCTTAGCAGCATGTATTTATTTTATTCATAATTCTCTCTTATTTTCTTATTTCTTAATTCTAAATCTTACTTCTGAAGAGAAGGTTGCATCTATAGGTTGAAAAATATGGTCATATGTTTGCAAATCCTGTCAGTTTTGGAAAGCATTTAATTAAACTAAATACAAAAATGCATTACCTATTTCATGTACTGAATATAATCAGGAACAAAGTATATTGTAACGTTCCTTTATTTTGTAACAAGTTTTTATGGCTTGGGATCTTACTGTCAATTTCCTCCCCGTTTCTCACCAGATCCAAATGAATTTTTTTTGTAAAACAACCGTGTTCGCCTTTTGAGGCCACATTAATAGGTTACTAGATAGAAACGGATTTGTAGTCTTCAGGCTTGATTATAATTGCTGATAGTTGAATTCCTGCCAGTTAAGTTTTTAACCAACTTTGCATTAAATTGATTTGTGCAGCCTTTGGCTACAAATTTATTTGATTTAAATTTTACATTTGAACTTAATTGTTATCATAAGTTATCTGCCACAAGTGGTTGACTGAGTCGTAAGCACAGGTGTGCCTTCTGTTCTGTACATCTAAACTTATAATAGAATAAAAGTATATCTTTACTTAATAAGAATATATCTGAACTTTACGATAATAACATTTAAAGATATTGAAATCAGTATCTAAGTGCTTGCCAGGTAGTCAATTTTTATATATAAATTGTACTCTTACTTTATTATAGAGTTTTTATTACAAAAAATTCAGATTTCTGTTAGATAAATAAAAGCTAAGTAATGTAGAAAATTGGCATAAAATTTAAATAAAAAGTAGACTGTTATGTCAACATACTATTAATAAAAGTAATAATACTCAGTGAAGGTTATTCATATACAGCTATTAGGTTGTAAGATTTACAAAATTTGAGAACTGTTAAATTATAAGCAATTGTTCCATAATCTAAGCAACATTATATTTTTTATAGTCAGTCAAATTATAAAAATGTTATAAAAGCAATAATTTTGGTCCTGATTTGAACCTATGAATTCATGCAATTACACATCCCTATAGTTCTAATATAAGGCAAGAAAGTATTTTTAGACCATGGTAATTTTGATCTCCTTAGCAAAGGAAACACAGAGTTTACATCATGCTACTGAAAATGTGTTTTTTTTTCTTGGGGGGTGGAGTTTTTAATAATATGCAGAGTTGACATATGAAAAAATGTCGAGACTCATGTGATGTAATATTAAAAGCATCAGTTTTAACTATCAAATTTTAGCTTTTTTAAAAATATTTTTAATTTTGTGCTTTTCTAACACAAATGTAACTAAGAAAAACATGCAATTTAACCCTCCTGCCATCAAAGCTCTGATACCTATCAAATTCGTTAAAGTTACGTGGACAGAAATGGCGGCATGTTTTTCAGCTCAGTATTTAGGGTTACCAAGGTTACCATAATTTTTCATTTATCGCTCCAAAATGTCGCCAAACAAATTTCTCGCCAAAAAGAACTAATACTAAAGCTGTGCCTTAAATTGCACTAAACATCATGTTTAACCAAATAATTTTTATTTGAATAAGATTAATATCATGATTTTCTGCTAACTTCAATTTAATTGAACTAATTATCATTTTTAACAAGTTACACCTAACTTGCATATGCTTAGTATGTTTAATCATGTAATTTCTAGTCTAATTACACCCTAACATATGCTTAGTATCATGCTGTACATTAAATATGTTTTAAATTGCTAAATTTGACGTATACTTGTTTTATATCATGCTTTATTTGAAACGTAACCATATAACAATAAAAATCATAGCCGTTGACGATAAAAAACACACTATCGCTAACATGTTTCTCTGTAGTAAACTCATAATTTCCAAACTATGCACCTTTTACATAACTCCCACCATCTAACTACATTAGTGTTAGAAAATTAAATTAATTTTTAAATATAGCCCGATATGTGTCAATGGTATAAAATTTTAATCCATTATTAGAGCAGAGAATATATCCAAGCAATGTTTAGTTGCTTTAAGAAAAATTAATCTCTATTAATGATTCTAGCCCCAAAATGAGCTTTTTTGATGTAATAATGCAACACTAAGAAAACTAAACAGCATAAAGACAAAAATTAATTATTTTGATATAATAATGCAACATTAAAACCAAGCAGTATAAGACTAACTACGAAAACGAAACACCATAAGATAATAATGAATTATTTTGCTGTGATTACACAGCACTACGAAACGAAAGGCTAAGACATCGGAGAATAAACTTACCAAAATAAATTCTGACTTTAATATTCAGATGCGTCAAATATCTAGATACACACAGTACTCAAACTCTTCAATATGGAGCAGCTTCTCTCAGCCCCTGGGAACAAAGATCTAGACCCCAAATGACAAGCGCCTGGCCCCAGCCACCACCCCTGTTCTTATTGGTTGCCGTTTATGACGTCAGGCTGAAACGATTCCATTACCTGTTTCGTTTGAGTTATGTCAAGGGGAACATATAACTACTTTGGATTTGGTTCTCTCCTGTGTTAATGTGAATTTGTGCAATGTAACAGAATATTTGAAATTAAAACGAACCTAACAGTATAACAGTAAATTAAAAAGAACCTAACAGTAGAAAATATGTCGGCACTTTTTATATAAATTGTTTAATCATGTTAATGGAATAGATAAAACTTTATAATGCGTAAATAGTGTTTGCTAAGCAATCTGTATTCAATGCAATTCATAGCGCTATACTGATATTTAAGAAATGTATTTTATAATTTCATATAAAAGGAGACCATTAACAAGATTTGCTTCGTCAGCAATATCAAGAAATAGCACTTAACTCTTACTGTGTAAATAATGTCTGCCGCAGTTTTCATGAATTAGCGGTTTATTTTGCAGAAAAGTGTTTTTAAAAGAGATATAAATGTAAAATTTAGTTATTTCTTTATAAAAATGAACTGTTTGATAATTCAATAACCTTCCTTTCATTTATTGCTTGTTATATAGAGATTGCTTGGTATCAAAATTGTTCGTATTCAGATTAATTTTTTTACTTTCTAATCCTAGGCATTAATTCCTCCTCATTTGTGGTTAAAAATAAGGTGAAATGATAAGACACTTTTAAATCGTAAAATACTTATAATATCGTTTATTTGACTTTGTCAATTGGAGTTATCATTCTGTTTTTTTTTTTTTTCATGTATTGTTGTTTTGTTTCTTAACTTTTATATCTTATAAAAAGTGTTTATTGTCAAATGACTTCGATATTCGTCTAATGACCAAAATACTGCTAAACGGTTATCGACTGCACATCGAATTGCACCTTTTTTCTAATATTATGTATATTAACAATATATTTCTGAAGCTGCTTTTTATTTTTGTAATTTTTTCGCAAATATGGCAAATTACACCATAGCTTCGCCTGTTTCAGCGCTAAAATGACCTCGAGCTCAAGCTTTTGGCGCGCAAAAATGCTGCAGAGAATTCTTTTCGTCACTCTATGACATCAGAAGTCGTGTCCGATAAGAGCTTGGGGTGGTGGCTGGGGCCAGGCGCTTGTCCCCAAATGCCAACGCCACTTATACTGACAGACAGACAGACAGACAAAGTAGACAGATGTCTTGTTTTGCACCCGCTAAGTCTTTCTGCCCCGATGGGCGAAAAATCAAGCATAGGTGCGAAGGAAAGGTATATAGAAAGAGGGGCAATTTCGTATTTGAGGAGAGTAAAAAGGAACTTCGTACATCTTGTACGAGTTCAAAAGGCCAGAAAGAAAAGATGGGACAAAATAAAATTTAAAATAAATGGCCCAAAATAATAGAGGGGAAAAAAAAGGGCCTTTAGAAAGAAAAGGAAAAGAAGTAGAAAATATCCTAAAATACGATTGTGTCCATGAGTGTAGTTAAAAGGAGAAGAAACTGTCTTCATTTACAATAAATAGTGTCTCACAGGTGTGTGTGTGTAGTGAGTGTGATTGGTAATGGTGAATAGATGTGTTACTGGGGAAAAGACAAATATTGACGGTGTTAAAATGCTTCGTATTAAGGTATTTAGCATGGAATATGAAGTAATATGTATGCTTGCATCCTGAGATATCAACAAAGGTCATCAAACAAAAGTATATATTAATTTAATCAAAGTAACTTATGCTACTTTCATTCTCAACATTTTCATACATTTTTCAAAAAACAGCAGCAGACTAACAACATAGAACCATATACAATGCAAGACCACAACCGCACACACACCAAAAAAAACAAAAATATATATATAATATATTTATGTGTGTAAATTACTTAGTATATGTATTAAAAAACACAAATTAAACAGTATTTATTAATTCAGAAGTCAAACAACAAAAATCAGCGTTAATTTGCAAAATTTTCACAGGACTAGTTTCGATGGTTTTACCGAACCATCATCTTCAGCTGCAAAACCGCAAATGAACAAGATAGGAAATAATGCTTAGATAAGATAAGAAAGCCTGGACAAGAATAAGCAAGTGGCGCCATCTGTTGGCGAAACCAGAACTAAAACATAATTTCTCTAAAAGCCGAAGGCAAATTTGGATTGGAATTAGGATCGTTAACTAGAACAGAAAGATTTTTATGAATGTGAAATGCCTCTAGAAAATCCAGTTCTCCAATGGAAGATGTTTTTTGAATAATTTTGGCAGCAGAAAAATTGAAAGTGTGATTTTCGGACCAACAATGTTGAGCAACAGAAGACTTCTGTGTTTCCTTTTTTCTAACATATGCTTCATGTTCTTTGACACGAAATTTTAAGGCTCTCTTAGTTTGGCCCAATGTAAATTAAACCGCACTGGCAAGGAATCCTATAAATACCCCAGGAATTCATATCCGGAATGGGGTCCTGAGTATAGAAGTTGGAATTTTATTGATGGGAGAGTAAACAACCCGAAAGTTAAATTTCTGCAAAATATGTGCAACTTTATAGCTAATTGATGGAAGAAGGGAATGACAACAGAATTTTTATAATCTCCTAAAATAAGAGTGTGGCTTTGGTGTGTTGAGATGAGAATTTTTTAACTGCTTGATTAATAATGTTGGGTGAAAAGCCCCTGTCAATAGCTATTGCTTTTAAATAATTTAGTTCTTCATCAAGGGCCAGTTTGGAGGAGCAAACTTGAAGAGCACGGAAAACATAGGAATAAAATGAAGCTAACTTTTGTTTAGTCGGATGACATGATTTAAAGTGTGGTGGAAGGCAAACCGATGAAGGTTTACGGTAAACTGTAGTACTGAAGTTGGATGTGTTAGTGTGACCAGAATGTCGAGAAAACGGAAGAGAATTGCAAGTCTCAAGTTCAAAAGTGAACTGAATAGCAGGATCAATAGAATTCATTGTTGAAAGAACTCTATTTAAATCATCTTTATTACCTTCAAACAGGGTAAAAGTATCGTCTACGTAGCGGAACCATGCCGGGAAGTTTAAAGTTTCAAACAATTTGATTCATAATAAGCATGTAGATATCAGCCAGGAGGGACTGAGGGGGCTTCTCATGGCTAATCCTCAGTTTGCTTGTAATATTTATTTTGGAAAACAAAATGTGTTTGTTTCAAATAGAGTTGAGTGAGAGAAATTAGCTCATCAATTTCGATGCAAGAGAAATGAAATTCGCGAAGTCTGGTTTCTAGACATCTTAATGCACCCTCCACTGGGACATTGGTGAATAATGATTTACATCAAAGAAACCATGAGTAAATACGAGGAGAAATGTTTTTAAACCTTTTTTACAAACTCTATTGAATTTTTTATGGTGTAAATGTTATTGTCTAATAGAGTGGAAAATCTAGAAACTAAATATTAGCTAATGGATACGAGGCAGTACCTAAATTTGATACAATAGGGCGGAAAGGAATACCACTTTTATGAATTTTGGAAGAGCATATAATCTGGCACAATTCGCAACAGATGGGATAAGCGAATGTTTTAAGTTGCTTTGAAATGATTTGCGAAGATTTGATCGCAGTTTTTATTTTGGATAAGTCCGAAGGTGAAGGATCTTTAGGGATCGGATTATATGGTCCTTCGTTGTAAGAGTTTAGTGACACCATCGATGTAAGGTTCTTATCCATGACGACTATCTGGCCACCTTTGGTCGGCCTTTGAAATGACAATATCCGGGTTAGAATGATCTCGCGCATTGTAGCTCTTTCTCTCGCAGTTAGATTTGGTTTCAAAGGTTTATTATTGAATTTCACATTATGAGCGATAAGATGCCTAATCATTTCTTTCTGTGAATCTGAAACTTTACTGAACTTGAAAGCTTTCTCGATAGGAGCCAAAATCTTTGGAATCGAGGGTTTACAGGTTTGTGAGAAGTTAAAATTATATTTTAGAATTCTCTCTTGTTCTTCTGAAAGACTAACATTAGAAATATTAACTATTGGCTTGATGTTTACAATGGGAAGATTTTTTGAACTACTTGAACTGGAAGACTAAAAGAAGTTTTTCGAATTTAACTGCAAGGGTGTTTTTATGACGGTTAACTGCATTCTCCGTTCTAGACCAAGACTTTTGTTCAAGGGCAGTGAATTTTGGATATGTTTTAGCGAGTTCCAGATGAAGCTTATAGAGTCATGTTCAATTTTGGACAAGTGTTGACGTGTATCCCTTATCGGACCGAAGTAAGGCAAGTTTGCAATTTAACAGAATTCTTGAAACGCGACTCGAAGGTTTTTGATTAGATTTGATTTGAATAAAAATTGGGGGGATTCAAATCAAATTTCGACGACCTTCGAGTCGCGTTTCAAGAATTCTGTTTAAATTGCAAACTTGCCTTACTTCGGCCGTGATCAGGGATACACGTCAACAATTGTCCAAATTGAACATGAACTCTATAAGCTTCATCTGGAACTCGCTAAAACATATCCAAAAATTCACTGCCCTTGAAAAAGTCTTGGTCTAGAACGGAGAATGCAGTTAACCGTCATAAAAACACCCTTGCAGTTTTAAATTCGAAAAACTTTTTACAGTCTTCCAGTTCAAGTAGTTCAAAAAATCTTCCCATTGTAAACATCAAGCCAATAGTTAATATTTCTAATGTTAGTCTTTCAGAAGAACAAGAGAGAATTCTAAATATAATTTTAACTTCTCACAAACCTGTAAACCCTCGATTCCAAAGATTTTGGCTCCTATCGAGAAAGCTTTCAAGTTCAGTAAAGTTTCAGATTCACAGAAAGAAATGATTAGGCATCTTATCGCTCCATAATGTGAAATTCAATAATAAAAACCTTTGAAAACCAAATCTAACTGCGAGAGAGAAAGAGCTACAATGCGCGAGATTCATTCTAACCCGGATATTGTCATTTCAAAGGCCGACAAAGGTGGCCAGATAGTCGTCATGGATAAGAACACTTACATCGATGGTGTCACTAAAC